CGGGCATGGTGGCGCATGCCTGTAGTCCCAGCTACTTGGGAGGCTGAGGCAGTAGGATTGCTTGAGCCCAGGAGTTTGAGGTTGCTGGAGCTAGGCTGATGCCACGGCACTCTACTCTGGGCAACAGAGTGAGACTCTGTCTCAAAAAAAACCCAAAAAAGCATATACTAATATCAAACTATAAATTATAATAGCATCAAACTATAAAACGCCTAGGAATAAGTCTGTATTCAATATATAACTTTACTAAAAGACATTACATAAGTCCTAACTACTTGGAGAGATAGCCCATGTCCACGGATAGACTTAATACCCTAAAATGTCAATTTTCACAAAAATGGTTTATGGATTCAATGCACATCCAGTCGTCTCAAAACCTTTTTCATGGGATGTGGTTAGAAGATTCTAAGATGTCTCTGTGGAGGGAAAAGGCCAGGACACCTCTCAAGGTGAAGAATAAAGACACTTCCCCTGCAGCGCCAGGACTTAGGGAGTTACAGTGGACACAGGTGACGTCGGCACAGGTCTCAGACTGACACAGCCGAAGTCCACTGTTACACGTGGAACTCTGGTGTTGGCAGTGGGGAAAAGCGGCACTGTTCGGCGAAAAACAAGTTTGCCCCACAGGCATAAACAATGACACTGCAGCCCCGTTTCTCACACACGTATAACCTACTTCAGATAAAGAATTAAACGTCAAAGCAAAGCTTTAAATCTTTGAGAAAAAAATATACACGAGTAACTGTCTAACCTTGGGTAGGGAAGGATATTTTTAAAAGAAGGCCCCCAAATCAGTAACTGCTAATGCTTAATAACGCTGATTAGGAACTTCTCTCTAATAAAAAGTACCATTAAGAACGGGGAAAGACAAGCCAGAGGCTGAAAAAAGACATTTGCAGACAAAGGGTCAGTACCGAAACGTGTAAGAAACCTTTGACAAATGAGGAAGAGAAGCGCACAGGACCCAGCCAGGAAGTCGGAAGGCACGACCAGGCGCTTCACAGAGGAGCAGACGCCTTTGGCGGACTCCCGGGAAGAGACGCTGAACCGCGTCAGGGCTCAGCAGCTGCAAATCAGACCCCTGTGCCAAGCACTGCCCGGCAAGACCAGGTTCTGGAGAGGCTGGAGAACTGCGTCTCCCGTCACCCCTGGAGGGTGTAGACTGACGTCACCACCCAGACAGTGACTGAGCGTTCTCGTGGGATTTGGGAATTCACGCATCCCAAGGTCCGGCACTTCCGTGCTCACACACGAGCCAGGAAGCCTGCGCAAGAACGTCCGTAGCAGCTCTGCTCACGCCGGCCCAACGCAGAGGGGGAGAGCCAGCGAGTTCCCACGGACTCCACGCTCAGTAGTGGCGTGAACGAGCCGCAGCCGCCGCGACCGCACGGACCACGCTCAGCACAAGGATGCTGGGTGAAGACACAGGTTAAAGGTCGCTCGCAGCAGAGAGAACCCACATGCTGTCCAGGCAAACAACGTGTATCGTAGGATAAAATCACTCCTCCCCACCTTCTACTCTCACAAAACAAAGGATTTACAAACACAAAATTCAGGATCATGGGGAACTGCAGGGAGAGACCAGGAGCATGAGAGTGAGGTGTCGGTTACTGTTCATGTTCTAGGTCTCGGGTTGGGTTCTAGATTCAAAGGCCACGATTTTATCAAAGGCTCACTAGCTAAACTAACTAAGCAAAAGGCGGCCAGCATGACGGTGCAATATGAACCAAAGATCACGGTTAATTGTGCACACCAGGGGGCCATGAAAGATTCTGTTTTTCATGTTATCACTTAAAACCACTAAAACGCTACCCGATGGCGGCGGCCTGGGGCCAGCCCTGTGCTGCCTGCAGCCTCTCCCGCAAGAGACCCAGGGGAGCTGGTTCGTGCCCCTCCAATTCCTGTTTTACAAACGGAACATCTAGTACTTAGGGGGCTGACGTCATGCAAACCATCTGATGAGATGTCTGCTCTGGTTCACTTGAGAAGCAGCACGAGGGCCTTCACGCCGAAGGAACCGCAGCTTCGTGAAGGGAATCCTTTCCCGACTGCGTCTGCTGCACAGATCGGCCGTCCGGGGCTTGCCCAGGCCTCATCGGTGAGGGGGAGTGCTGGGCTGTGGGTTTGGGGGCAGCCATGTGCCCCGTGGTGTCGTCAGCGAGCCACCCTCAGAGACCCACACCTCTACCAGCTGCCAGGCCCCTTTGGGGTGGTCGACGGATCATCCCAACCTGAGTCCCTGGTGTGACTCGGGACAAAGGGCCCTGGGCCCTAGAAGAGCTGTTCATGGAGGGAGCGGGCCCCAGGGTCAGAGCAGGGAGAAAGGCGGAGTGGGGTTGACTTCGGGTAAGGACAGGCGTCCTTGTGTGCTGTCAGTGGGGAGATGCCTCCTGAGCTGCCAGGTGCCCTGACCAGAGGTGCCGGAGCAGGTGCCTGGTGCCCTGAGGGACGTGCCGGCCGAGGTTCTTGTGAGGCGGAGCACGGACTGGGGACAGTCCAGGCCCTGTGTGTCCTGGGCATCCACGGGGCCCAGCCGCCGCCTCCACTGACTGCCGCCGTCCTGACTGGGTGTGCTCCTCCGCAGAGAAGCAAGGGAATTTGTGTGGGTCCTGCCTGCTGGCCGCCACCGCCTGGGTGGGTGGGTGGTGCTGTCTCCGCCCTCCCCAGGCTGGGTGCTCTGTGCCTCCTGCCACCTGCTGCAGTTCCTGGGCCCTCAAGAACGCTTAGTCCCCAAATCCCCACCATCACCGCTAACTTACTGTTGATGTCCTTGTCACTGCGTTCAGGGAGGTGGAGGGCCAGGCTGACCTGCGTGGGGGTCTCCTCCATGTTCTCGAGCTGCGCTGGGACTGTGGGCTCTAGGGGAAGCCAGGTGGTGACCACGTGGCACGGCCGCTCCACGCCGGGCCGTCCTCGGGCCTCCCTCTTGGGCTGCTTCTCTCTCTCAGGGACATCCCTTGGGGGGCCTGGCTCCCAGCGTGGCGCGTGGGGGGTGCCTGTTCACCTATTGGCCCCACACCCTCCCACAGACCCTCGGCAGGGAGCCAGCCTTGCGCCCGAAGGGCCCAGCAGAGCTGCCCGGGCCGGGGTCCACGACCCTGCGTTACTGAGAAGCCCCTTTCTCTCACAGCTGACGCTGCTGCTCTCCCTTCTCAGGCTCAGACTCTGCTTCCCTCTCCCTCCAGCCCCTGCTTCTCGGGGCTACGATGCCTCCTCCTCTCTTACCTGCCTTCGGACTCTGCAGACCCCCAGCTGCAAGCACTCTGTGCAGGGTTCTCACCTGCACCCTCAGGAGTCTCGTACCTGCTCTGGTGGCTGCGAGTCCGAGCAGCCCGTCTCTGCACCCAGATCTCACCCGCCCCTGCTGAGCATCCTGGGAGCGGCCGACCGCCCATCTCTATGGACACCTGGCCCTGGCCCTTCCCTCCTGCTCGCCGAGTGGCAGCAACCCCTCTGCTGCCCCTCCTCACCCTCCCTGCCACACACCTGTCCCTTTCCTTCCCTTCCTTGCTGGGACGTTTTTGTTGGTTGAAATATTCGCTTAGCTGGAGACCAGGCTGTCAGGGAGCTCCGTGAGGACAGGCACCTGGCCTTACCTGCCTCTGTCCTGCTGAGCACAGGGGTGGCTCCATGTCAGAGCCACGGGGAGGCCTGCCACCTGCAGCTTCCCGCACCCACCCTCACACCCCGATGAGCTGGAGGAGGGTCCAGGCCGGGCCTCCTTGACCCATCTGCCCCGGTGCTGCTGGGATGACCTTGCTAGGGACAGTGACCAAGGCTGCTCCTGCCCTGTGGTGCCTGGCAAGGCTGGGAGGCCCAGCGGCCTGCCCTAGGTGACCCAGCTAGTCTCGGCCTGAGCAGGACCAGAACCCAGGCCTGTGGAACATGGCCCTGAGCGTGAAGGGGACATGTGTCCTGGGCCACACCAAGCATGCGAGCCACTCAGCCCTTGCTAAAGGACAGATTGCAACCGGCAGCTCCGAGTGGGCTCTGCACTCGGGGAGCTGCGGGCACGGCTGGTCCTGCTGGTCCAGGGAGGACTCGACCACCGCAGCCTCCCGTCCACAGTTCGGGACAAAGCTCGGAGTTCTAACCTGGCAAGCAAAGTTTCCGGAATGTCTTGGGCCCACGTCTAACATCTTTATTTTTCGTCTTCTCCCGCGTGCCCTGCCAGCACCTGCACTGCACACTGACAGGTGCGGGCTCCGCACAAGCTGTCCCCCCACTGTGGACAGCTGCTGCCGGTGCTGCCGCCAGGGGCCCGGAGCCCCAAGCACCACCAGAGTCAGGTCCCTGGCCAGAGACCGCGCTGGACGCCAGGGTGGTCTTTGAGCCAAGGTCTTAAGGGCCCTGTCACTCATGCTACTTGGGACAAGGGCAGGGTAGGCATGGTGGTGAGGCCTTGGGCTAACCTCTGAGGCGGGGCGGGGAGGCCGCAGCACTCACGTGATCGCTCGGGGACTGCCTTGCTGGGTGAGCTGCCGAACCTGGCGCTCACTCTGCCCCTGCCGTCCACGAGCTCTGAGAACCTGCAGAGAACACGGAGAGTCACCACGGCGAGCACGGCCTCCAGGACGGGCTGATGGCCGGGGCACGTACCTGGGCGGCTGGGTTGGCGTCTCGGGGGCGCCGTGGTCGTTGAGTAGGCGCAGCTCCGGCAGGCGCGCCGGGGGTGGTCTGTTTCTGAGCACCCGCGGGTGGTGTCCTCCCTGGTGCCAGCGTCTGTGGGCGCCGTCCCCGGGGGCTGCAGAGCAGGCGGGGGAGGGGAGTGGCCACACGGGCTCGGGTGGGGGCTGCTTTGCTGCCGTCCTGCCCCTGCCACCCCGGAGGGGCCGCTGGCTCTCAGCCGTGCTCGGGGTGGGGATGTGCATGTGGGCTGTGGCCACACACGGGTTTGGGGCTCCCCAAGATGAGCAGGACCCCGGCTCGTTGCAGCCACCACATGTCCCTTCTGAGGGACACGGACAAGCCCTTGCCTGGGAGTCGCCATGGGGTCCCAGACCCCTCTCTGTCCGCAGGGTGGGGCGGGGCCTCGGACTCGGTCCTGGGCTGCCCCGAGACACAGCCGTCCCCAGCAAGGTGGCTTTCTTGACTGGACACTTCAGCTGAGGCGCCACCCCACTCACGCCCAGACAGTGAGGCAACGCGTGTTGCCCTGCGGTTCTCATGTGACCTGCTCCCTCCACTGGGCAGGGGGCAGAGTGGGCTTGGGGGCCTCTGTGCACCAGAGCTTCATGGGGGAGCCTGTGGCCCCCTGTGGGGAGCTGCCCCTGCACTGCGCTGCCTGCCCGCCATGGCCGCGTTCTGCCCCCTGCACGCCAGACACACCGTTTCCCGCAGCACCTTTTGTGAGCTCCAGAGACAGAAGCAGGGTGTGTGGGACCTGGCGGGGCCGCCTCTGCACTGGGAACAGACCCCAGTTCCTGGCGTGGCCATCGGAGCCTCTGCACACCCAACCGCCCCACTCATGCCCGGTGGCCCTTGAGGCTCAGTGGCTGCAAGGCCACTTCTGGGCCCTTCTCCTCGCTGCTGCCCTGGGCACCATCCCGGGTGATGCCTGTGCTCACTGCTCCCTCTGTCTGGGTCTGCCAAGGGACCTGGCCTGGACCAGACGAGGCTCCACAAGCTAATCTGCCCAAGTGGTCACCGCCACCTGTCCCTGAGTCCGTCCTTTCTGCCAGTTTGAAAAGCCTCCGTGCCCATGTGTGAACTTCTCCCAGGTGATCAGGAGCCCTGTTTCTAGGCTGTCTGGCGGCCGGTGGACGGCGTGGCCCGCGCCAGGTGAGGGCTCTGCAGTGCAGCAGGACGAGCCGCCTCTCCGGGACAAGGACACCACACCCCAGGGTGGCAGTCCCTGCTGGTGGCCCACAGGCCCTGCATGGCCAGGTCAGTCCTGACAGTCTGGAGCACTGGCTGAACGTCCGTCCCCACCCGGCCCCGGGGCCCTGGGCGCAGCGCTCACAGGTGACGATGTAGAGGTGGGCGGGCTCGCTGTGCAGCTGGCCATGCTCTGCGCTCTGCACGGCCGTCACTGACAGCTGGTACCGCCGCCCTGGCAGCAGGTCGCGCACTGTGTAGGACGTCAGCTTCCCGTTGGGGACGTAGCGGCTCTTGGTGCTCTGGCTGGTGGTGACGTTGATGACATAGGCCTCCAGCAGGGCGCCTGGAGCAGGAGCATCCCAGACCATGTGGGCAGAGGTGGCCGTGACTCGGGTGGCAGTCAGGTTGGCAGGAGGCAGGGGCCCTGGACAAGGCACAGGGCACAGGGGCAGGAGGTGAAGGGCAGGGACACAGTTTAAGACTCTGATGCGGATCGCTCAAGCCTCCTTGGACGCTCGGTTATTTGTCACAGACAACTCTGTAGTCTTAAGGAACGGCGTGTGGCGTGTTTGCAGCCATGAGTGTGTGCTGCACGGAAGCACCGCCATCCTGACCCAGAGGGCCACCGGCCCCCGACGGTGCCCCCTCTCAGGTTTGGAGTCACCCAGCGAAGCCCCCATAGTTTGGCCCATCCGTCAGCACCCATATGTGGCACTTTTGAGGGCACCTAGAGCGGAGTCCCTGCCCCACTGGCCTTTCACGTGCCTTCCCCGGCGGGCTGTGTCCGAGGGCCACGGGGGAACAGCCCTGGAGCCGGCAAGGCACAGCCATCCCCACCGGGCAAGTTCATGCTCAGGCTCTCGCTCCTCACGACCTACCTGCAACCTCCCTCTCCTCCCTGGGTGCTGGGTGGGGGTGTGGGCTCAGCTAGGGTGGGCTGGTCGCCTGGTTAAGAGCCCTGAGCAGCGTGGGCATCTCTGGCCCCTCGGTCAGTGTCTCACAGGGGGACGCACTGAGCCTTTGGTGCTGAGGCCAACCGCAGACAACTGTCCCCAGCAGAAGGATCCAGACCAGACCAGCACAGTGCTACTGCCTGGCGGTCCCAGGAGACTTCTGGGAGGCTCAGGGCTGGGTCTCTAGTGTCGTGGACACTTTTGAGAGGACGGAGGGATGCTGGAAGGAGGTCAGACCTTTTAGAAGAAGGCCCCGCAGGAGCCAGTGGCCACGTGCTCTACTTACGGGTCCACACGTGCACTGGTGCGGTGGCCAGGCTCTCGGTGGGCTGCTCCTCTCCGCTGAGCCCACTAAGGGTGGTCACCTGGATGGTGTATCTCCTTCCTGGCAGCAGGGCCCTGCCGGGAGGAGAGGGGCGGGAGAGAGGAGGACACACGTCTAGGGACCTCTGTCTGACTCACTGCTGCACTGCGGCTCCCTCAAGCAGGATGTGACCACGGGTGTGTGTCATCCTACTGCTGGTGGCCCAGGCCACCTCCACGAGGGACAGATTTGTGGCCCTCAGACCGTGTGCTCCCAGGGCGGGACCCCCCTCCACGGTCTGTCCAGTGCAGTGAGAGGGACGAGAAGGCCACAGTGTGGTCGGGGGCTGGGGCTCGGGAGAGGCCAGATGGCGAGTGGAGAAGGTCGCTGCACAGAAAAGGTCACGCGAGGTCGAGTGCTCCCCGAGAAAGCCCTGCTGGGAACGGGGACTTCAGAGGGCTCCCCCCACCTAACAGATCGGGGGCTCCCTGCGCCTGCGCTGTGGGTGCAAACAACGTGGTTCAGGGCAGCGGGTGCCTCGAGCTCAGCCTCCAGACAGCCCCGGGCACCGAGCTTCTGAAGGGCTTCCTGCTTGGTGGCATTTCACACGTCCTCACGCTCGCTGCTTGGGGACAGAGCGCGTCCTGGGGGACTCCCTGGGAGAGGACTCTGGCAGCTCGCGCCTGCTGCCCCCGGACTCTGCTGCGCGGCTTCCCGCCGCACCCTTGTCCCCCGCGACACATCTCAGTGGGGAGTGTGACTCTGCACGGAGCCCCCGAGTCCTCCTAGAGAACCACCCACGGGTGGTCTTGGAGACCCCGGCACAGCCAACACCACCTGGGGCCCCATTTGTGTTTTTGTCACAAGCCACCTGAAGTCACTCTTTGGAAGTGGCTTGGATGTAGATAAAGAAAAGTCACAGCAACATTAAAAACACAGCAGAGGATCTGGGAAGGTGGCAGAGCAGGGAGCGCGAGTTCGCTGCCCACCGACGACGGCTGCGCGGCAGAACCTGTCTGCGTGACCACTCGAGAGCTCTGGAGGCTGTGGACGGCTCGCGGCTTCCTGGGGGAGGCCCGGTGGTCAGCTGAGGCTGTTTTTGCTCAGGGTCAGCCGTCGGCACAGCAGGGCCGGGGGGCAGAGGGGCCCTGCCCTCCGGGCGTTGGGCACGTGCGGCCCAGGCAGAGGCCACGGTCCCTCCCCTCCTGCTGACATGACTGCCAGGGAATCTAAAGGGTGGGACCCCCTCCCGCACCCTCTATTTTTTTCTTTTTCCCCTTCTGGGAGTCGGGCAGTGAAGAGTAGACATTCAAACCCAACCGCACATCCGGGCAGAAGTCGGACGTGCCGCGTGTGCCCAGGAAAGGCCTGGGAGACCCTGGGTCTACACTGCGCCTGGTCCGTGGCGCGGAGACAGCCTACAGCGTTAAAACCCACAAAACGGAGGGGAGAATGTGAGCTCCTGTGTCACTACATCATTCTATCCAAACGCCCGGCTTTCAACAAAAAATCACAAGACATCAAAGAGCGTAAAATGCGGCCCCTTCGAAGGAAAAAAAGGAATCCACGGAAACTGCCTGAAAAGACCGGAGGGCAGTGCTGCCGGACGCCTCGTAAAGCTGCGCAAGGGAGGGAAGGCAGCTGTGCGGAAAGCCCAGAACAATCCCTGAACCACAGGGAAGTGTCGCTGCAGGGACAGGAAACCTGAGGAGAAACCAGGAGAAATTCAGGAGCCGAAAGACAAGAAAGCCTGCCTCGTCCCGTGCGGCTGACGGTCCGGCCGCAGAGCGGGCGCAGACACGCGTGGGAAGGACGGTCTCGTCTCGCTACGTCTGCGGCAGCGAACGTGCGGCGTAGGTGGGTCAGAGATGCGGGGGGCGAGGGAGGGCCCTGGCCGCGGGGGCTGAGCCGGGACCCCCGGGGTGCCGGCTTCCAGAAGCCCTCCGGGGACCGCGACTGGTGACCGCTGAGCTGGACATGGTGGAGAGGCCCCCGCCGAGCTGACCCGCACGTCTGTGGTCAGAGGCACCTGTGCTTTGATGGAAATTCCCTGGACAGGTGCTGTGTCCTCTGCAGGCCCAAGAAGCCACCAGGCGACCTGAGGCCAAGGCCGCCCACCCCCAGGAAGCCGCGGCTAGGTCGTCTTTCCACCCCCGCGCGTCTCTCCTGGCATATCTGCCTGCTCTGCACAGGAGACCAAAGTTTTCTCTCTGACTGGTGATCGGCGCACGGGGCCCTTGCGGGACCCCCGAATGCGCTCTGGGCCGTCCCCTCCCAGCCTCCCTGACCGGCTCTCTCGGTGGCCAAGTGACTCTCTCGGCATCCGTGCAGGAGGTGCTGTTCCCCGATCTTCCTACCGAGGCACCTGCTCCTCACGGCGGCCCCGAGACTGGGCGAGGCGGGAGTGAGACCTCGGGAACCAAGTCTGCCCGGAGCCAGGGCTGACCCATCCCAGACCCCACCTCCACCCGAAGAGGAGGAGCAGGTGCACCGGGAACACACGCAGAACACACCCTGGACCTAGGCCCCGCGTCCCCGACGCCCTACTCTGTCCCCTCCCCAGCCCCATGCTGTGGGCTTCACCTCTTACCCAAATGTGAACCTGTCCACACTCTTGTCCACGTCGATGGACTGGTCCTTGGAGGCCTCAGGGTGGTGGAGGGACACCCGGACCCGGCTGACGGTGGCGTGCTGGATCCGGTGCAGAGCCCACTGCACCGAGATGGTGCTGGCCGTCACGTTGGTGACCTCCACGCTCTCAACAGGGCGGGGTCCTGGGGGCAACAGGCTGCTCAGCTGATGGGGCTCTTCCTTGCTCCCAGGGGAGTGGGGGGCTCATGATGAGACCAGGCTTGGAAGACCAGGCTGGGGCTGGAGAGAGGTGACTGGAGGGGACCGGGCAGCCTCGGCGCGCGGCGTGTCCCCCATCAGCTGCTCCGTGGGGACTCTGCCTCCAGGGGGATAGCTGCAGAGGGCTGACTGTTTGCACCTAACAGATCTGACAGCTGAGCTGCTCTGCACCCGCGTGGCGCCCTGGCCGCCTGCCTGGAGTGCCGACCACGCAGCCACCGTGCTGCTCTGCAGCCCTGCTCCGGGGCCTTTTCCTCTGTCCTCGAGCCGCTGGTGCCTTCCTCATTCTTGCTCCGTCTCTTGAGGCCATAGGCACGTTGGCCCAGTCTCGAGGCCCCCGCGGCTCCTGTGCCAGCTGCACCCGGGATCCCACGCTGGCTCCAAGGCTCAGCTCTGCAGGGGGCAGCCCTCTGCCCGTGGCCTGTTCTGGGGAGTCTTTCCCCACCCCAAGGTGTTCCCAGAGCAGACAAGCAGCCAAACCCTCAAAGCCTTCTGGGGACGCCCCCCGACTTGCTGCTCCCCTTCCCAGCGGCATCCCCGCTGGCCACAGCCCTCCTCACCGTCTCCTTGTCCCCTGAAGGCCACAGAGGCTCCTGCCGCCCTCGCACTGGGCCTGAGCCCTGCCCAGTGTCCTCCCAGCGGGCTTGGTCCCTCGCTCCCTCCTCGCCCCTGCCTCCTGGCTTCCGGGACCCCCCTGCCTCAGCCCCACCCCTGCATGTGGAGACCCCTTCCTGCCTCTGCTGCACCCTCCTCCTCGGGATGGCATCTGGTCCCAGCGCTCAGCGCCGGCCACAGGCTGAAGGCCGGGTCTGCCGTTCCCACTGGGGCCTGCTCTTGGCACGCGCCCCGTGCCCGCTCACGCTCTCACCAGGCCCACCCTGCAGCTCCGCCCTCAGAACACGGCCGGAGTCCCCACTTCACCCTTGCTGGCCCTCGCCTGCGGCTTCTCCCAGCCACGCCCGGGCAGGGCAGGCGGAGCGCGCTTGTCACAACCCGTGGGTGACACCAGCCTACTGCTCAAGACTGGCCGTTGGCTTCTGATTTCTCTGGGGAAATCCGCAGGGCTCTGACCTGCCCCTCGGCCCCCTCGCCACACGCCGGCTCCTCCAGCCGCTTCTCAGGGGGCCCTGCCTCCCACCCCTCACCTGCCGGCCTGTTACTCTCACTCTGAGCTCTGGTCCTGTGTGTGTCTCACACCTGCAAAGTTCCACACCTGTTTATCGCACTCCCCAAGAAGGTCTATCCCCGAGGCTCCGTCCGCACAGCAGGGCCAGTGTCGCCGGCCCAGCAGCCTCAGCTGCGCGAGAGTGCGCAGGGCAGGGCGCACGGTCTGTCCCACCCCCTCGGGGCGTGGCCAGCACTGCTCTCCCGCGGTTCTCAGGACACGGGTGTGGGGCAGGGGTGGCCGGTGGCGTGGCGGGCACTCACGCGTGCGGGTGAGCAGCGCTGCAGGCCTGCTGATGTCGTTCTTGTTGTTGGCGTTGCGCTTGACCGAGAAGACGGAGATGTTGTAGGCCCTGCCCGCCGCCAAGGCCTGGAGCTGGTGCGAGGAGCGGCTCCTGTCCACGAAGTCTGTGCGGCGGTAGGCGCCGTCGGTGGAGACGTAGGTGACCGCGTAGCCATCGAGCACCTGCCTGGCAGCCGGGCCGTCGGGAGGGCGCCAGGAGATGGAGACCCCCGTCTCCTCCACCCTGTCCACCGTGAGAGCAGTTGGCGGGAAGAGTTCTTCCGGGTTTGGGTCGAAGCACAGGGGAGGGCTGTGGTCAGCTGTCGGCCGCGCATGCCCAGCCCCTGCCGGGCGGCTGGTCTGGGCTCCGGGCCTGGCAGAAACCCCGTGGAGTCCTCCGTGTCCCTGGAGTTCACACCTCTCAACGTGAGACGTGTTCTGTGTGCACCTTGGGACCATGTCCCCCCCGTTTCTCAGGTAAGGAGCCAGACAGGCACCTGCCTGGACATCTGCCCTTGGGGACTGCTGGGCCCTCTGGGGAAGGAGGGAGCCCTCACCGCCCCCCCACCGCGGGTGCCTGCGCCGCCTCACCTTTGGCGCAGTCCTCGCCTGTGTAGCCCACTTTGCAGGTGCAGCTGTGGGACCCGTTGCTGGCCAGGCAGTAGCCGTGGCCCCCACAGGGGCTGGAGAAGCAGGGGTCACTCACTGAGGGTGGGGAGAGCAGCCGTGAGCGCCAGGTGCCGACCTCAGCCCGGCCCTCGCTCCTGGGCACTGGGTCCTTCTGCATGGGGGGGGTCCCACGACAGCTCCTGCTTCCCCCAGCTTCGCCGCCCTCGCCGCCCCCGTCCACCCTACACAGCCGAGTGCTGCCGGCCAGGCCCACCCTAGGGGTGGGACACTCGACCGAGGCAGGTTAGGCCACCACCCCGGGACGCTCTTGCCCTAGGAGGGAGACTGGGTGGCAGGTTGGGCAGGAGGCGAGTCCGAGAGCCCCAGAGCTCTGTGGAGGGAGACGGTGGTGCTGGGCAGAGGGGGCGGGTTCCCTGCAGACCTGTGTTCGGGGAGGCCTCTTCAGGAGGGAACAGTATTCTAGAAGGAAGGGACGGCGGGGCCGTGCGGGAAGATGTGAGGTCACAGCCAGCTGTGTTCTCGGGTGAGGTGGGGCTGTCGGGAGGTGGGTGCCAGAGGTGGGGCTTGCAGGGCACCAAGAAGACCAGAGCGAGGCCACCGGCCTGAGGGCTGAGGAGGGGCCTTCTGGGGAGGTGGCCACAGAGCCCGGCTGAGCGGGCAGGCCTGCGCCTACCTGTCTCACAGTGGTAGCCGAAGAAGCCCTCGGGACAGACGCACAGGTAGGCCCCGCCGCCGTTCTCGCACCGGCCTCCGTGCTGGCAGGGGCTGGAGTCGCAGGCGTCCACCTCTGGAGAACACCCAGAGAGTGGGCCCCACCGCAAGGGGGGAGTCTGGGGGAGGGAGCAGAGGACAGCGGGAGGAAGGGAAGGGGGAGGTGTGGAGCAGAGGCGGGAGGGCAGCGAGCCGGGAAGACCCTGAGCTTCGCAAGTTGACCAGCAGCCCCGCCTCCCCTCTCCCCGGGTGGCCCGTCCAGCGGGCGACGTGGGGGTCCACCCACCCCTGATCCTCGCGTGGCCCAGGCTCTGCACGAGAGGACCCGCCGGAGGGGAGCTTCTACCTGTTTCGCAGTGGGCGCCAACAAAGCCCGCAGGGCACTGGCAGACATAGGCCCCCGGGAGGTCCCTGCAGGAGCCTCCGTTTCTGCAGGGCTGCGCTTGGCACTCGTCCGTGTCTGCACAGAGAAGGCGCTGGCTCAGGCCGGCAGCTCGTACCCCTGCCGGGGATTCTGTGCACTCCCTGAGGCTCCAGCCACCCTTGCCCTGCAGCCACCACTGTGGACGTGGCCTGTTCCTCCACCAGCCCTGCACTCGCTCCTCCTGGCGGGCTGTGCCACCTCCGCTGCCCGCCTGCAGAGCCCCCGCCCCCTAGCTGCTCCTGCTGGAGGGCTCCCCAGGCCTTGCCCTCCCAGGGCTCAGGCCCTACAGGGGCACGAGGGCTCGTCCCTCGCATGCTGGGCAGTGCTCTCCCTCCATTGGCTGGCACCACCAGGCCTGGTGTCAGAGGCTGCAACCTGCCCCCTCTGCTGCCCACCTTCTCTGCCCCTGAGGCCAGCGTCTGAGGCCAGGTCAGTGTTTCTCAGCTGAGCTCTCAGTCTCCTGGGAAGGTGGACGCAGAGATGTTTGTAAATCTCTGTCCTGGATGTCAGAGCTGGCAGGGGTCTGAGAGCACAAGCAGTGGCCAACCTGGCCGTCCAGACAGAGACCTGTCCAGGGAGAGGAGCGGCTGGATCAAGGTGACCATGGCCAGGGGGACCCAGTGCCTGCAGGAGCGTGGCCAGGCCGCTGGAGCTGCCACCCCACTGGGGGCCAGGACCCATCTTACCCAGCCGAGAGGGTGGCACAGGTACTGGCAACAGGGCCCTGGCAGGAGCCCCCAAGCAGGCACAGCTGAGACTGGCACTCACCAGTGTCTCAGGGCACCCCAAGAATAAAGTAATGTGGCTGTTATTAAGCCAGAGTAAGATGGACAGAAACTAGTTTTGAGGAGCCAGACAGAATTCTGTGATATTCCCTCGGCGCTTGGAGAGGCCAGACCCCAGGTTGGCTCTCCTTGGAGGGAGGGGCAGGGCAGGGCCCGGGGCTCGGTGCCTGGCTGTGCCTGTGCGGTGACCGGGCATCGGGCTCACAGGAGACACAGCGGGGTTCGATTCCAGTGGCTTCCAGGGCGACAGGCTCGCAGGCCTCTGAGGTTTGGCAGAAAACGTCTTACATCCAGTCTTCCCATTTCAATATATGATAATCTTGTAAGAAACCAGCGCATTTGGGGACATACTTAGTTTTAACAGATTCACCACAGGTTTCTTTTAAACTGGAAGCCGTGCTCCTCAATTTAATGTTTAATTTTAGAAACGTTTAATTTTAATTTTTAAACAGTAGGTAAATAAATGGTGATGACTTAAGCCCTCGCCTAGAGGCTGCCGGCTTCACCTGGGCACACGCCCTCCTCTTCCTCGTGACGCGAGCTTTATGCATTGCGTAAATCATATACGGTTTTGTTTTTGCTGTTTATGAGCTTTATTAATAGGATATTGTGATGTATGTTCTGTCCTCTCACACAGCGTTTTAAGGGACCTCGCTGTTGCCATGCGTCCCTGCGGTTCACTGATTTTCATGGCTGCGTGATATTACACGGCGCGGTCACGTCACGCCTCGTCCATCCTTGTTGCTGGGCATTTGGGTTGGTTCCAGACTTTTCGCTGTTACAGAAAAAGGTGCTGTGCACGTCCTTTCGTATCTCCTGGTGTGGACGTGCAGGTTTTTCTTGGGTTCGTGCCTAGAAGTGGGATTTCTGGGACGCAGCTGATACAAATGTTCATCTCAACAGGCAGCTTCCCAAATTGTTGCAAAGTGCTCACACCAGTTCACCCCCGTCTGGGACTGGGGAGAGATCCTGTGGATGCACATTCTCACCAGCAGAGGCTTTCAGCCTCCGGAAATTTGCCAGCGGGGCGACCTCCCGTGCTGGGATTTGCTCCCCGACCCCCAGTGAGGCCGACCGTGCCTCTTCCCCCGTGAAATGCCTGTCCTCGAGTTTGCCTGCTTTCCTATCGGGCTGGTTATTCTTTTCTTATCCATTTATCCGGGTTCTTTATGTAGTTTTGAAATTGTATGCAGCTTCTCCCAGCTTGTAGCTTCTATTTCACTTTCTTCTTTAAAGTTTACGGATTTAAGTCCCTAATTTTCCTACAGTCAAGTCTGTCCACGGATCCTTTCGTGGTGCCCTCTGTGGCTTAAGGAGTCTTTCACGACCCCAAGGTCAAAAAGATATTTACCTACATTTTCCACACAAAATCACATAGTTTTTAAAAAAATTTAAGTCCTCAATCCATCTGGAACGCATTGCTGTGTATGATGGGAAATAGGAAACGATGCAGTATTTTTCCCAGTGCATAACCGTTTTATTCCAGCTGTCATGAATATTTTCTCACATGCTTTCTTTCAGAAGTTCATAGTTTTACCTTTTACATTTAGGTTTATATTAATAATTCATTTACACACTGACGACTTTACCATGTTTATGATGCTGTTGTACGTAACACTGCTTCATCCACTTTCTCGGGGTTCACTGCTGGAACACGGAAAGAGAATTGGTTCCGTCCGTGGACCGTGTACCTGTGACCCGTGTACCTGTGACCCGTGTACCTGTGACCGGGCTGAATCCACTCACAGTTCTGCAGCTTCTCTGGGAGCATCTCCTTAGGGTTTTCTGTGCACACAATGGTGTTGTCTTTGCTGCTTCCTTTCCAGCACATGTGCCTTTTATTTCCTCTTTCCTATGGTGCCGCCGCTGGGACCTCCAGGACGATGTCGCAGGAGTGGGATGGACACCTGCGCCTGACCCCGGACGCAGGGACGTCTTCCCACCCATGCGTCTCGTGAGCTGAGGCTCTCATGGGCGCCCGTTACCAGGGGAGGGGATCGCCTTCCATTCTTAACTTATTAAGAATTTGCAGTAAGAGTTGAACTTTGTCAAATAATTTTCGGTGTCTGTTGAGATATCATATGGTTTTCTCCTTTATCCCTAATATGGTGAAATACATTGGTTATCAAATGTGAGGTCCACCTGTGCCCTTGAGATCACTCCCTCATGGTCACGGTTCTACCGTCCTTTTTATGTAGTGCTGGGTTTGGCTTAGTCGTGTTAGAATTTTTGTGTCTATGCTCATGAGGGACATTAGTCTGTAATTGCAATTTTTGCAATGTCTGCGTCTCCTGTGGGTGTGAAGGGCATAATATTCTTGCCTTGGGGTCAGGAAATAGAAATCAGATGACCTGGGAAGTGTTCCTTCCTCCTGATCTTCTAGAAGAGCTTGTGTAAGGGTGGTGTTACTCCAATCTTAAATGTTCGACAGAATTCACCAGTGAAGGTGTCTGGCCCTGCCGTTTCCTTTGAGGAAGGTTTTTCATTACAAATCAAGTTTCTTTAATAGATAATAAGGCTGTGTATGTTTCTGTTTATTCCTGTGTCACTTCTGGTCATTTACGTCTTTCAAGGTATCCATTTCTCCAAGTCGTCGGATATATTGGCCTAAATTGTTCGTAATATTCTCTTGTCCTTTTTTTTTCTTTTTTTTCTCCCGTCCTTTAGATGCTGGTAGGATCTTTACTGTTTCAAAAACTCCACTTTAAAGAGGAAGTAGGATCCTGTCTTTCATTCTGATATTGCTAATTTTTCTCTCTTTCTTCGCCAGTCTAGCTAGGGGTTATCAATTCCTCTGATCTTTCCAAGCAAACCACTTTTGATTTCATTGATCTTTCTCTGTGTCTGTCTTATTTATATGATAATTACATTTTCTAATTGTTGCTGATATTTAAACATGCCATTAATTTTGTTCTAATCTATATTCACTAAACATATTACATTTCCTGTCATGTTCAGTAGTTTGCCTGTAGCTTAAAGACAATCATATCAGCTGTTAAGTACTGACATTTTTACTTCTTCCTTTCACGTTTTCATGACTTTGATTTCTCGTTCTCACTTTACTGCATTGACTAGTCCTTCCAATGTATTGATTAGACTTAGTGGTAAACGGGCACCCTTGTCTCCAGTCCTAAGGGGAGCGTTTCTCTATTCAGGTAACGTTTATTCTAGGTTTGAGTAGATGGGTCTCAGAAGCTACTTCCCTTTCTTGTGTTGGTAGCTGAGCATGTCTGCGTCAGTCCAGCAGAACGGCTTTTGAATTCCAGATCCCCCTCCTGCCGGTGAGGCTCAGGAAACTCCCTGCTGCACAGCTCTCTGGACGCAGCCTCGCTCCTTCCGCTGTGGAGACGCGGCGCGGCGCCCAGGAGCACACGGCGCGTCCAGTCGCCGCGGCTGCCGTCGGCGCGCCTCTCTGGATGACGGACACTTCTGGGGTTACGTGGGCGCTGCGACTCCTCTCCTTTAAGTTTTTCCTCTAGTAAGTCCCATTTCATTTCACACCACGTGGTACTAGAGGGGTGTATGTCATGCTGCTTCAGTACGGACAAGAAAGTACCTTTTTATTCCTTATTGGGTATGAATTTTGTCAAATGCTTGTGATGCATTCATGGAGATTCCGATGATTGTTCTCTAACTGGTTAATGTAGCAGGTTTTTCTAACATCAGACTATCCTTGCAGCAACCTGACTTGATAATGGTGTAGACAGTCTTTACAGATTGCATTTTCGCCTCTGTGTTCATGTGTAACAGACCCACAATTTTCTTTTCCCCGCTGTCCGTGTCTGGCTTTGGTGTCGATGCTCTGCTGGCCTCAGGGAATGGGTGGGCACAGAGTTATCTTCTTCTCTCTGTCAGAGTCTGCATCATACTGCAATGGACCGTTTCTTGGCAGTTTGGTGGAATTTACCCATAAAGTCATTTGGGCCTGGTGTTTCTTTGTGGAAAGATGTTTTAACTACTGCTTCAATTTGAATAGTAGTAGGACTCCGCAGGCGTTCTGGGTTTCCTTGAGTCGTTTTTGTTAGGCATGTTTTTCTGTGACTATTATGCCCATTTATCCTAAGATTTCAAGTTTATTTGTATAGCACAGCCGACAGTGTTCCCTTGTCACCTTCTCAATCTCTGCTGGGTCTACGGTTACATCCGTTTTTTCATTCATGAAGATTTTTGTGTTCTTTGTTTTTCTTGATCAGTCTTCATAGACATGTGTCCATTTTATTAGGTTTCTCAAAGAACTAATTTTGGCTTTCTTTTTTGTATGCTGGTTTTTTTCTTGTTGTTTTTTGAGACAGGGTCTCCCTCTGTCACCTGGGTAGAGTGCAGTGACGCCGTCATGGCTCACTGCAACCTCGAAGTCCTGGGCTCAAGCGATCCTCCTGCCTCGGCCTCCCAGAGTGCTAGGATTACAGGCGAGAACCACTGTGCCCGGCCTATCTTTTCTTTTGTATCTTCGATTTCTATTTCATTAATTACAGCTTTTACCTTTATTGCTTCTTTCCTTCTTCTGTCTTTAGTACTATTTGTTATTCTTTCCCTAACTCCTAAAGTCAGATATTTAGTTCATAAATTTTGGAATTTTCTTCTTTTCTATCATGGGTATCAGGCTGTGAATTTCTCTTGAAGCACTGCTTTTGCTGCGTCACACAAGTTTCGATACATAAAGTTTCTATTGTTAATCACTCAAAAATATTTTCAATGTCCATTATGATTTCTTCTTTGACCCATGAACTATTTCAAAATATCTCAAAAAATATCTGAAATCTGCATGCAGATTTAAAAATGTATCTTCTTGTTATTAAAAACTTAATTTGTGTTCCAAGAATGAATTAGCTCAAAGTGTTGACTGTATAGTTCAAATCTTCTATCTCTTTATTGATTTTTTGGGCTCCTTAACCTGCCATTAATTGAGAGAGGTGGTTTAGAATTTCCCAGTGTTACGGGGAATATGTCAGTTTTGTCCTACAGTTTATTATTAATAATTTTCGCTTTATAATATTGAGACTATTGTATTAGATGCCTGAATATTTATAATAATTGTATCTTCTGGTGACCTGAACCAGTTATCACTGAGAGAGACCCTCTTCATCCTTAATGATGCTCTTGCCTTGCAGCCTTTTTTCTGGTACTGACACAGCTAATGCGCCAGCTTCATTCTGATTTGCAGTCACCGGATATTTTTTTCTGACTTTCATGTTCAGTCTTTTTATGTCCTTGTGTTTTAGGAGTGTCTCTTATAAGAACGTATATAGTCTGTTTTATTTTGTAATAAATCCGACAATCTTTTATCTGGAGAGTTCACTCCATTCATATTTGTCTATATTTTTTTTCTAACATAATTCTTTTAAATCTTAGTATTTGCCACTTTTTTCTGATTTTTTCCTCCTTTCAGATGGTGACAGCCTCACTGCAGTATTTGATAGCTCTCCTGTATCTTACCTGGGTTTAGCTTACATTTGAGTATCCCTCCCAGAAAGGACCCTTTTTTGCTAAGCTTCTGAAGCTGTGTTTGCATGAGAATATTTTTATGATGCCCTCACATTTGACTGAATAAAAATTTTGGGATCTTAAACTTGTTTATTCCAGTATTTATCCTGTTTAGGATTTGCTGAACTTCTTGGATTTGTGGGTTGATGTGTCATTTTTAGAAAATGGTCTTCAAATACTTCTGTGCTCTGCTTCTAGGACTCCAGTTCTGTGCCCCTTTGCCTGTTCAGTATTGTCCCACAGATCTCTGACACTCTGTTCCATTTTTCAAAAGTTCATTTATTCACAATTCGTTTTAAAATTAATTTTTTCTTTGATCTGCAGTTTAGATGACTCTGTTGTCTTGTCTTTTGTGTTCTATAATGTTTTTTCTTCTGTTGTATCCATTCTGTTAATCCTATGCCATTTGGTCTTCATTTCAGATGTATTTTCAGTTGTAAAATCTCTATTTTGTTACTTTAAAATTCTTTTCCTGCTCAAAAAGTCTCTATTTTCTCATTCATTTTGTCTTTATTTCCTTCTGTTTTCTTTAACATATTTATAATGACATTTTAAAGTCCTTGTCTGCAAATTCCGACATCTGGGTCATCTGTAGGCCTGTTTCTGTTGACCATGTCTTCTCTCGGTTACGTGTCCTGATTCCTTGCTTGACAGATACGTACGTGCAAGAGCAGAGAATTCCTACCCCCTACGATGAGCACGCTCCGTTGTCTGTCGCACAGCTTGGTGAGTAGCTCATCTCTTTGATCCCATTAGGAGTTGAGCTGGGCTGGGGCTGGAACAAGTTTTAGGTAGTTTTAATTCATGACTGGTTTTGAATGCCTGAGGATTGGAACAGGCCTCTCCCTGCAGGCAGACTTGGGGTCTCAGCCTGGAGAGACTGTGGGATCTCTCTCTGCTTTCCACGCCAGCCCACGGCTCCCCGTGCACGCGTGATCATCCTGCAGGGGGGCCCGGTGGGTGCTGAGGACTTGCTCTGCGGCTGTGGCTTCTCTGGGTGTCAGTCCATTGTGCTTCACCCCACAGCACCACAGGTTGGTGGAATTTCCCTGTTTCTCAGAGTGCCCTGCCCACAGGGCTTTGCTCCAGGGATGAAGGCGCCCAACAGTCTTCCTCACCCAGTAAGAGCTCGCCTAGACTTCTTTGCATTCTCAGCTCTTTGATAGGTTAAAAGAATGTGTTCCCACGGGTTTCATGGTGTTTGCTTGACATTACAGTGGGAGCAATGGTGTTTCGTAAGTGTCCCCGTCCTCCCCAAAGGGGCGTCCTCAGTATTTAAGGATTTTCCCTTCAATATCTGTCATCAGATGTTGCTGCTGAGAAGTGTGATGTCAATCTGATTCTTGTTCCTTTGCAGATGACCTGTTTTTCCCTCTGGATGTTTGACTTTTTTTTATCTATGATATTCTTACATTTTACTATGATGAATCTGAGTGTTTGTTTTCCTTCTTTCCTGTTTGGCGCTGTGGCCCTTTCAACCTGTCGTTCATCTATAGTTCTAGGAGGTCAACTCCATGGTCACTCAAAAATTCCCTCCTTTCCCTTCATGTTTTCTCTTATCCCTGGTCCTGCTGTCTCGGTGTTGGCCCTGAGACCCCTACTCCTACCCCCTACCCCTGCTGTGACTCCTACCCCTACTCCTACCCCTACTCCTGCCCCTACCCCTACTTCTACCCCTACCCCTACTCCTAACCCTACTCCTACTCCTACCCCTACCCCTGCTGTGACTCCTACCCCTACTCCTGCCCCTACCCCTACTCCTACCACTAACCCCTGC